AAAAAAAAAAAAATAAATAAAAATTGTAGTAGGGAACTTTTTATGCAGTTTACTTCTATTTTCCACGTAGATCACGGGTTTTTTGCGATTTTCAAGCTCATTTGTGCGACGAGTAGATTAAAACCGAGAACGTGCTAAACATAGCGATGTAAGGGAAGCGGACGGATACAAAGATTTACATCTTAAAGTGACCACAAATACATATGTATGTCCCCCATTGAACATGGTGTGGCGTTTTGAAAAATTCAACATGGCGTCTAAACTAACCATAAATTAGATTTTGCTTTACAACTTTTGTGCCACTGGAGAACCCAACATTCAGAAAGAAAAAGGTTCTTATGTTTTTGGGGCTTGCTGATTAAGAACTTAGCGGCCAAAAAATTAAATTCGATTCAATCCGCTTGAAACGATTTCTTCTGGGGTTCTTGGGGCCTTTGAGGTGAGGTTGGAAAAATATGGCAGCAAAAAAAAAAAATACTAAAGCCGATTCGGTTCGCTTGTATCGTTTTTCGCGGGGTCTTTGTGGTTGGTGATTAAGAATTTGAAAATTACAAAATTTCAAATGACGGACCCTACCTATATGGCGACAAAAAAAATGTAATCGATTAGATTCGATTAAAACTTTACAATCAAGGGTTCTTAAGGTCTCTGTTAACGAATCTGAAATCTGAGTCTGAGGTGTACTGGCTGTTTTATATTATTTCCACGGCTCTGGAAGGAAAACCATCACAAGCAATGTATCCCTTAGACTTTTTTTATGTTAATCCCAAACTCAATTACTGTGAGCATATTTGCTATGAAATTTGAATTTGGTGTTTCCGTTAAACTAATGTCTTTTTTTTTTGACAAAAGTAATTTGCTACGTTAATAAATATATTGATTTATGGTGTAAACAGTTAATAGTACGTAACTAGGTACAGTAGAACTTCGTTAATCCGGATATGAACTAATCCGGACAGGGTTAAAAAATAAAAATTCTTATTATTTACATGTTAATCCGAACCCACCACGGTCTGGCTAATCCGAATCGCGCAAAAGTTTATTCGGCAAACATAAGTATCCGACTTTTTAAAATAAATTTTGAGGCAATATTCAATTACTTTATACTTTTCAAGTTTATATTGAAACCTTTGTTATAGTTTTTTTTTTATCATAATAAGTGAACAAACAATTATAGGCGTTTTTCCTTAAAAATTTTAATGCTTTTGATAATCCGGATTGTGCTGGTTTTAATTGATCCGGCTTAACGAAGTTCTACTGTATTTCAAATGAATCATTAACGACTTTGTAAAAAGTTCATCAACTGAAATGCACAAGCATACATATCTACCTACGTATTCATACATACATACATAAATAGTAATCCGTAGTTATCAGTAAACAACTTTACGCCACTTGATTAGCGCCCTTTTAGATAGTCACTATTGACAGTTTGGCTTTTGTTTATTTAATATTCATTCNGCTTTAAAAAATTGTTTTAATTTTAGTACAATAAAGCGCAAAGTTTAAGGGGCTAAGAACTACTGTAAATTTTTTATATTTTTTTTTGCCGAGGGTGTTGCGCAATTTCTTTCATATAAAAATAGATTTTTATGAAAATTGGTTGCATAATTATAAAGTCTAGTCTATATTTTAATGATAGATAAATTAATGAATATTAAATAA